TTGTAACAGTTGTATAGCCTACCTTATTCATACTTAATGAGACACAGAGGCTGAGAGATGAGTATGCTTTTGGAAATTATCTTTTCTTCCCATCTAGACCTCAGGGAAAACTTGTGCCTTAGACCTTTTGTCTCTTGGATTTTTTAACAGTGTTTAAACCTCCTCTCTAAACAGGAAACACCTTCACCACTGGCAGCAGAACTCCTTTCCCCTCAAGGCTGGCTAAAGCTCTTACTTACTCTTCCTTTTCTACGGAGTGTTGCCGTGGGTGATGCTGAAGTTTTTTTCCACGACTCCAAAATTTCATGTAGTTTTACAGCTCTTTGCTGCAGGATTAATGTCTGCTATACAAACTATTTTGACATAAGTACTTATGACATATTTTAGGAATGATAAATATAGCTCCTAGAAGTGAGATGGAACTGAGTTACTTGGGGTACTTAATTTTCTGTTTGTTGGCATAAAAGCATCATTGAAGTTTTAAAAAGGGATTCTTAGAAATATGTGAAAGCAGCTGTAATCTTATAATGCAGGTAAAGAACCATTCCTTAAAAAAAAACACAGAAAATAAATCTGTTATATGTACATATGTGTTTATCTTCCTGTTTTTGTTTTATTTTTGTGATTTCAGCAAGTTCAACATTTTAGATAATCTAAAGTGATTTCCCACTGCATCTGTTTTCATAAGCTACTGATAAAGTTATTTAGAAATCTTTCTCAAACTAAAACTTAAAAATATCCATCAGAAAGCTAGAGCTCTCTGCAAAACCCTTATTCTAGCATTTCATGGCCTCCTTATTCAGAAAAAATTCCTTTAAAACTTTGTCACTCCAATCTACCTACTATATGTTATGCACAAAGCGGACATAAAGAATAGTTCCTCACATACTTCCTAAGTACTCTAAAATACCTTCAGGTTTTAGAAGATTGAATAGATTTATTTCTTAAGTCATCCTTTTATATGGTTAAATAATAATAAAGCAGTTAACTGTCTTTAGTATTTTCCCAGAGGACATGTTTTCTGAACTTAATAGAACTGTTAATAGAACTGTGAGCTGTGGAGAACTGATAGTTTGGAAGAGGAGATCACTTACAATCTCCTTACAAGTCAGACAAGAATACCTGTATGTTTTCAGGAAAGCAAACAAAGTTAGGGTGTTGGTAAGAAATAAATTAGTAAATTTATTTTTTTTTTAATTGAAAATAATGCAGGTATCAAGATTCTAAGAGATGGTCCTACTTTCTTTTCCAAAAGAGGAAAAAAGCCCCTTTAATCTTGTTTTAATGAATGCTTTGACTGTGTTGCTCAGGATTTGATTGTATTTTGTCTGTCTGTATCTAAATTTGTGGTACTTAAGATTAGCTGCAATGTACCAGGTGAGATTAGGCAATGGCAGATTGGATGGAATAATTGCAAATTTTGTCTTAAATGAAACATTCCTGTTAATTCATTCCAGAACAACATTTCCTATTTTTTTAAACTTACAAAAAATATTAATCTGTATTGAATTTGTGATCTGCTGTAGCTCCTTGTCTCTTTTCTACCTTGCTTCTGCCTATCCAGCAGTGTCCTGTTCTGTTTCAATGGTGGTTTTTTTGTTTTGTTTTTTTCAGATTAAGACTGCAGTTCTTGTTTCTACTGATTCATCCCTGTTTATTTTGGATCTTATTGATCAAAACTTTGACTCCCACATCAGTCCCTTGGAACTCTAGCAATTTCTTGAAGCCTGATGCCATCTGCAAATTTTTAAAGAATTTTGGGTTATAATTTGTCATCCAATTTAATTTATCTCAGGTTAGTTCAGGAGAAGCCCTTGCAGGGCTTAGTTGTGTAGTCTTTTCAGACTGACAGGGATCTTTGTAAAACTGCCCTTTGGATCATGGTTACATCTCTTGCAGGCTCATTTTCTGATGGTTTCAGTTAAGTGCTGTTTCACTTGTTTGCTTATACGAATGTCTCACGGGACAGCATTTAAAGTCTCAATTATACCAAACTATAGCACACTATTGTTTCTTTATTACTCACTCAGCCTTGAATTACAAACTAGATTGATCTGCCAAGACTAAATCAAATTGTTCTTGACAGTAGCCTTCTGTTGATTTTTCAGTTGTTTTATTTAAAAAAAACCCAAAACCAATCACTATAGTTACGGTATATTTTTAAGTGTTTGTGTGAAAGGCCTGGCTTAAAATTACCTTGATCTTTCTTTCCTAGCTGCAGAGAGGCAATACTTGCTTTTTATCAGCGCTCTGACACCTTTTCCTGTATTCTCAAAGGTACCTTGAACACTAACTTGATTAGTTGTAACTAACCTAAATAGTCTCCACTGCAGTATTTCCATTCTCTGACCTGTTCTCTTTTCCCAGTGCATAACACTGTTGCAGTGAGTCTCTGTTAACTTTTCTCTGTATAGGAAGAAATTACTTTTGACATGTCCTTTGTCAATTTCTGGCCTTCTTTAAGCAGCGGACTTGACTGGGTTTTGTTAGTCTTACTCCTAATATGTTTAAATAGCCTTTTATTTTATGGCTAGTAGTGGTGTATCAAGTAAAACTTCCAACTGAAAATTAGTTGTTGCTAGATAATCCTTGTTAGGCACCTGTTTGCAAGGGAAAGAAGTAGAACTGGAATATTCCCATTCACTTGTTAAAAAAGAAAAAGGGCTTTCATTTGTGGAAATAAAGGTCTGCACTGATAGGAACAAGAAATGTTTAGCATTCCTAAAAATTTGACTTGAGTTAGATTAAGACTGTCTCATCTTTCTGGCAGAGAGGAACTGGATCAGTTTTAAGGAAAGACATCTGTAGCAACAGAGGAGAGTGAACAACTGCACTCATCTCAGTGCAGCACAAAAAAGGAGGCTCTTATATTTTCAAATCAATTGGAAAAGGAAGAAAAAAAGCACAAATGTGAAATAACAATGGGAAGAGAATAAATGAGAAATATGGAAACTGGTTGAAAAGCAGGCTGCATTTCTAGGTGGACTGTCTGCAGGTCAATCTAAGCAACTGTATTGGAGATATTTTTCCTGAAATACCTACATAGCTTAGGATCCAGTAAGAGCTTTATCTTACAGGAATCCCAGTCTTCCTGAACAATAGGTTGAATTTTAAAGCATCTTTGAATAATGCAGTTTTAACTTCTCAGTTGTGTGCTTTTGAAAGCTTTCAGGCTTTTTTTTTTTTTTCCCACCTGAAAATTTTGCATTTATATTCATCTTCCATTATATTGTAATGGAGATAAAAATATAATCTATGGATGGTAGAATTCCCTGGGGAAAAAACCGAAAAAAGACCTTTATCAGTGATGTGTAAGGGAGTGCTGCCAACAAAAAGAGGCAGTCTTTTTTTAGGCTGGAGTTTGCTTTGGGTTTTTTTTGTGTAGTGTTTTTTTATTATTTTATTTTAATCTGCTGCAGACAAGAGGTCTCGGACAGTCTGTAACAGTCTTCTGTAAAGGAAGACTGTTGTAAACTGTGAAATATTCTTTTCCTTCCTCCGGAGATTCCACTGGCAAAGTGAGTCTGATAGAATTTCCTGCGCTCAACTTCAGAGCGTCTGCCATGAGAAGGATGAACACTTACCAGTAGGAAGCTCATAAACAAATTGAAAAAGTGAATCTCCAGGAAAAGGTGTAGTTTTCTGCCTTCTGGCTCCACAGAGGATATAAACTGTTCTGGAGATGTCTGTAATTCTTCTGTTCATACAGTTATAAGAGTTAATCAATGTTTTAGGGGGGAAAAAAAAAAAAGCAAGCTGCCCTTTCCTGTAGCAAAGTGTGCATGATTACTGAGGCATGTGTCTCCATACCATGGACACCATGTGACTGCTCTCTGCAGAAGTATAATTAATCAGCTTATACACAATAGATGTGCATGGATTCAGTACACAACTAGTGTATTGTCTTGTCCACCTGAAACATTATATGACCTGCTCAGGAATTATAACTCTATTGAGGTAAGGATATTGGATCATACTGTCCAAGAGACTCCTCCAAGCTAAGTTGACATTCCAGGCTTGACTGCTACGAGTGACTGATGAAGCTGTACTGTGAGCAAGACTCTGCAAGAGCACTAAGCAAACCTTACCACAAAGAGAACTCTGTACAGTGTGCTGTGACCCGCAAGGAAGGACTTGTCCAATGCTGCAGTTCATATCTTTTACTCAAACTTAGTTAACCAGCTTTGAGTGTTGGTGCCTTTCTTCCTGAGATGCCAAAAGAAACAGAACTTCCTTGATGCAAAACATTATGCTTGGTGAAAAGTTGGAATCTGCTCATTCATGCAACTAACACAAACCAACCGTCTTGCTCCTTCCTGATATCCCGGAATTGTGTGTCTTCCAGCAGAACTGTGCAATGTAGCACTTGGCAGTTTGTCAACCTGTCACAGTGTGTGACAGGGTTGATTTGGCAAGGGGAAGCGTCAGGCTTAATGTGTGGGAGGGCCGTATTCCTGGATTTTCCAATTATTTTTTTTTCCACATGGAATTTCCCGTTTCATGGAGGATAGGGGCAGCTGAGAGAATAAAAGGCTGCAGTAAAGGCAGGCTTACACAGTCCAGACACTTGGAGCTGAAATTAATCTTCAAGTCCATATTCAGCGACTTCACAACGGAAGGCGGTCACTGAGAATATCAGAGAGGACTCACTCCATCCTGCCACCACAACTACAACATGTGAGTATCAATGGAGTGTGCTGCTCTGTTTCACTGCTCAGCTAAAGGAAAACTGGACAGAGGGAACTCTGTTGGTGTTCTTTAGAAGCTGTTTGCATTTAAGAGCTATCTTGCTAGAACTGTTTTAAAATGAATTATTTCCTAAGAATTAAAATCTGATTTAAAGTCTTTAGAATAAATGTTAATATATATAGAAAAGATTGTCTAGACAGTATTTTATATCTAATTGTAAAAAGTCAGTATTTTTTCTTTACAGATATGTTCTTTTGCTCTTTCATAGCTGTTTGCTAAAAGATAAAGGGAAGAGAAAACTCTTCAGAAATATGATTTGCTTGTGGCTCCTATCTCTTCTTACTTATGGTAAGTGTGCAAGCCACTGTAGAAAACTAGTTGGATGGTAATATGAGTGTGCCTGTGCTGTTGGAGCTCAGAATTAAACAGATTTTTAAAATCTGACTTAAATAGCTTGAGGCTAGGTTCCCATAGAAAATCCTCTAGCTGCAATGGCATGTTTCCCTGCTTGCCTGTAAATACATAGTTGACTCCTATGGCTTGCTACAAAATCTGCAAAGCTTTGTTTGATCAAGCATAGTTTTGCAGGCTGAAGTTCCTGTACTTGATGCTGACATGTCTATTTTTAAGCTTTCCAATTAATTGTTACAAAATAATTGCCACTAGTTGTAATGTAGTTTCAGATGTTGACAAGTTTGCAATATTTACAGAGCTTTATATATCCTCTTAGAGAGGAGGGGAAAATTCAGACACCAACTTTTGGACATATTTTCATTCTAGGACTTACACTGCTGCAGGGAGTGGGTTGCTGGACATACCATTATTCAGATACAAACATGACCTACAGAGAAGCAGAGCTGTGGTGCAAAAAGAGGTATACTAACATGGTTGCCATTCAGAATAAGGAGGAAATCAACTACCTCAATAATGTCTTACCCTTCAATCCGGGTTACTACTGGATCGGAATCAGAAAAATTAATGAGGTATGGACCTGGATTGGAACTAACAAAGAACTGACAGAAGAGGCAAAAAACTGGGCTTCAGGTGAGCCAAATGGCAAAGGGAACAATGAGGACTGCGTTGAAATCTACATCAAAAGAGGGAAGGATGATGGCAAATGGAATGATGAGCAGTGTGAGAAAAAGAAAGTCGCCTTGTGCTACACAGGTATGATGAAGGCTGTTCTAGAGTGTCCCTGTGGAGATGAGATGGTGGGTGGGATGACTTGTTTAACCTGGTCTTACATATTAACTACCTGACCATATAAGCCTTTTTGGAGGCATCTGTCTACTGACTGTAGACCACTGGATTAGATTAGACACTTTAAGTAGAAGTGGCTAAGCCTAGGTAAAAAAACAAACCCTAAAACAAGTAAAGAATCAGCCAAATTAGAGTTGTGGTGAGTTAATGAAGAATGTACCTGTTGAGGATTTCTATCTCCCCTGTAATATATTGTTCCTTTCACATTTTAAATATTGCTAGTATCTACAAGGGGAACAAGTGGTCATGGAGTTTTCTGCCAGCAGAATACTTTCACTGTGAGCTAGTCTGTCAAAGGTGTTGATTTCTGAAATGACTGTGATACAACAGGGTCATCTTATGTACCAATGCCCTGTTTTTCTTTTGTTCTACAAAGTTCTTGTTTAGTGCCAGAAAAACAAAGATAAACAAAGCACTAACCAGGTTTCATTAGTGGCCATTGCTAATTCTTCTATAATTTGTTCTATTTTCTCTTTTTTTCTCCAGCTTCTTGCAACCCATCTCTCTGTAGTGGCCGTGGAGAATGCATAGAAACTATTAACAACCACACTTGCCATTGCAACCCTGGATTCTATGGGCCTGAATGCGAGTTTGGTAAGATGGCACCTTCCTGCTGTTCATGCTAGCTAGTGCTCAGTTTGTCTGGCTTGCTGATGTGTTTGCTCAGCCAGTGAGGCTGACTGTACCTTCTTGTGTTTCTTTGAAGTTGAGAGCTGTGATCCACTAAAGAAACCTGATCATGGGAGCCTCAAATGCGACCACCCGTTGGAGAACTTCAGCTACAACTCATCCTGCACGGTTCAATGTGAGGAAGGCTATGAGCTGACTGCAGCAGAGTCTATATTCTGTACCTCTTCTGGGGACTGGTCTGCTCCCCTTGCAGCATGCAAAGGTGAGCTTCTCAAGCAGTGATAGATGAGCTTTTCTGCATTGCACATAGGTCTGGAAACTTGACTGTTGCTATGCTAGTAGGTACAAATTGAAGTTCTGGCCCATTCTTTTGTAATTAATTACATGATGAAAGTGCTGTTTTATTGCAGCACACAGGTCTCTTTGTTCCTGAAGAGATGAAATGGGCAGGACGAATGTTGCAGGTCTAGTCTAGATTTCCTTGTAGGGA